CTTCCTTGGTCTGCTACTTTGGGGGTCGACGTTGTATAAACCTGATAAGTTGTATTTTTAATAATAACCCACTTAAACAGTCAAACTGATTTGCAGTTTATTTGTGCTGTTTAATTATATTTTTGAGTTTTTTAAATAAAAATGCACGATAACTTTGGACTTTTAGGGGGCGGAGATTGGAGTTACCAGATCCAAGCAAATAGTTACGGAATGCACCCTGTCAAAATAAGAGAGTTCCCAGATCTTGTTCCGGCAGGATCCGGCTCAAATTAAGCCCTGCCTCTGTCCCCGTTTAATGATGGTCAAGCTCTTTTCACAAAGATGACTTCCTTCAATCCTCTCTCAAACCAGAGTTCCTCTCTATCAAGGATGTAAACATCTTCATCACTGAAAGAGTGACCACTGGCTTGCAGATGAGTGTAGGCTAGGGGTTGAATAGACTAATCGACTAGTCGTTTCAAGGACATCTCATGAGTTTTTATGTTTCACATTGACTAGTCTCCCCCCCCCCCCCCCCCCCACCACTGTTCCCAGCCCTATTCCAGGCGGCCGGGTTGGTGTTGGGCTTTTGATTGCGTCAGTAGGCTGACGATCCAATTTGTATCACCACCAGCTGCGCTGACCAGCTGGTTAAAAGACGTACAAAAAAGTCCAGATGGATCACTGCCAGAGACGCACCTGAAGCTTTCGAGCTGCTGCGTCAGTGGACGTGCACAGCCGTTTAAAAAAAGGGACAGAAAAGAGCTTTTCACTCAGCTACATAAAAGTCCAGATGGATGGCTGCCAGTGACTCACCCGTGGCTTAACTGGACCCAGCCGCTGTGTCAGCGGACACGCGCAGCCGACGATCGTTGATAACTAAAATAACTATAATATTATAATAAGGTGCTCCAGCACCTCCCACCCCACTGCCCTCAGTTCTAATTCGCCCAATCCACGATGGTGGGTTAAATAAAATAAGGCTAAGAACAGTGGGGCGGGTGGTGGTGAACTCCGTCACCGGCCACCCCACTGTTCTTAGCCTTGTTTTCTTTGTGTTGCACGTTTCTTTCCCTTTTTCAGCTTAAGAATAGTTTTGGTTTTTCTGAGACTTATTTGCAGTATGATAAATAATAGGAGCATACATTTACGCCCCCTGTTTTGTCGTTCTTGTTTTTTTATTTTGTAAATAATAAATTATGGTTTTTTTTGCAAATTTTTTTTTGCAAATATGACATAGCATCTTGAGTTCCTATGACATCATCGACTAGTCAACGCCAACTCCACTTTTATCATGTTAAAGTTGTAGTATGTACATATGCTGATATATATTCATACTGTTAAAACGGATTCTTTCATTTTTCTGGACTGTATAATGACGTGCATCTGAATTAATAAAATGTGGACGGAAACGTTAATTATCTTTGACTCACCAACGACAGTGGGCCATTTATTAACATAATCAAGTTTAACACATCACACATTTACATTAATTGGCAAGAATTGAAAATAACGACAGCTTATTAATCAGTTTAGCAAGGAGTAAACAACACGGCGATTGTTTTCTCACTTCCAGCAGAACAAACATCAACCACACGGCGGTGATTGAAAAACTTTGCTTCAGACATTTCTAAAAATATCTGTAATGATTTTTAGCAGATAGAAGAATTTTAAAGATGGAAAGATGAAGTTTATCTTGAGAGAGATGTGTGAGGGAATTTGTCTGTTTTAACCAGAACATGCACGCTCCTTTGGACCAGCTTATTCCAACGGTACACTTTGGTTGAAGATCGACTTTTACCTTTCTGAAGATATGTCAGTTCCGGCGTAAAGTTCCACTTCGAGCCACTTTTCAGCGTCTCCGTAAGAACAGCTAACCCTCGAGAGTCGTGAGGTCATCCAAAACAGAAGTTTCATAATTCCCAGATCTTCTCTCATTCAGTTTGATTTCCTTTCAGCAGCATCCTGAATTCCAGCCTTCATGAACTCTGGAACTGCTGTAACTAGGAAGTGCTGCACCTTTTAAGAAGGGTCACTTCCTGTTCATTTGAGAACTTTCTGATTGGTCAAATGGACCAAACAGAGGTGTGTTTTGTGATGTAAGGTGTTATGAAAAGTCAAGGAAAAAGATTAAGATTGTTTAAGAACAGACAAAAGATTGTTATGAAGAATTCAGACTTCGTGGAGTCACTTCTCCAGTATCTTGCTGTAAAAGTTAAACATGACATTTCTTTTTCAGCAAACTTGCAGTTGACCGAAACTTGAACTTTGAACAACTTACCCACTTGCTCACTGAAGACAGAAAATCAGACAATGCATCATTAACCTGATTTCTTCTTTGAATGAGGATTAAGAATCATTATTACTGTTTCACAGTTAATAAAAATGAGTAGTTCACTTCAACATGTAAACATTGTTTGAACTAACACAATTTGATTATCAAACATTTGTAAAATAGTAATGATAATAGAAAGTAGTCTTCTTTTACTTGATCAATTCAAGAAAGAAAGTCTCAGGATGGGTCAACCTGTATTTCTGGATGCAAATCAATGAAATTACAAGTTCTGTCCCATATGGTCCTTAAGGTCAGGACTTTGACCTCAGGCCTAGTTCACTACAAAGTCGACTTCAAAGAATATGTAGTCGTTCAACCCCAAGTGTAGACCTGAGTCCTGGTCTGATGATGCTCTGTGCTGGGCCATCCTTTTGGTCAGTGACTGTTTAGTTTCCCTGTTCGGGGAAACAAAGATAGAGATTGTGGATCATTTATCCTGGTGCATGCTCAATAATCCAGGTAGAAAAATCGAAAAAAGTTCAGTCAGGTCCTCTGGGTGAGTGAAAACAATTAAAATTGTACGAACTTTTCGTCTTTCATCTGAAAGACTTCTTGGTCTTTTGGATCAAAAATGAAACCTTTCAACAATTTTTTTTAAAACCCATCCAGAGACCCTGACTGAACTTTTTAGGTGGATCATTTATATAACCTTTTTTTTTTTAAATATAATTTACAACACATTTCCAAATATGTGCAACTTTGTATAAAATGTAAATAAATGGACTGTACTTATATAGCTCCTTTCTATCTTACTGAGATACTCAAAGCGCTTTACACTACAATCTGTGCCTCATTTACCCGTTCATACAGCTCTATACTAGATCTCTACAGAGACTGATTGAACAAATCATAGCTTAAATAAAGGTTTCAAAGCTTTTCAAATGTCATGAACTCATATTTTAGTCACAATCAAACGCGATAAACATATAGAACCATTATAACAAGCTTTTGCCCTGTTTAAAATAATAGGTAATTTCAAATTTATGGCAGCGACACATGCAAAAAAAAAACTTGGGGCAGGGGCAACAAAAATATGTAAAAGTGTGGTACAAATAAGAAACAGATGGAAGAGTATTTAGAGACTAATTAGGTTAATTGTCATTGGATCAATAAGAGGAGTGGAGATTAAAAAAGAGCATTTTAGAGATGCTGACTACTCTCAGAAGTAAAGATTGGCAAAAGTTCACCAGTCTGAAAAAAACTGCACCTAAAAATATATCATCAATAAATTTTAATGATCTGAACAAGTTCAGGCGGCTCAGTTGGTAGAGCTGTTAACTCTCAGCGAGAAGGTTGCCGGATCAAATCCCAGCCCGGGGCCTTTCTGGGTGGAGTTTGCATGTTCTCTCTGTGCATGTGTGGGTTTTCTCTGAGTACTCTAGTTTCCTCCCACAGACCAAAAACATGCATGTTAGGCTGATTGGTAACTCTAAATTGTCTCTAGGTGTGAGTGAGAGAGTGAATGGTTGTTTGTCTCGTTTGTCTCTGTGTGTCCCTGTGATGGACTGGAGACCTGTCCAGGGTGTCCCCTGCCTCTCCCACAGTGATGGCTGGACATGGGAACCAGTGAGCCCTGCAACCACAAAGGAAGAAGCGGGTAAAGATGATGGATGGATGGACAAGTTCAAAAGTCAAGCTTAGATGCTCATGATCTTCAGGCAACTGCGATAAAAACTGATCTGACTCTGTGGCAGACGTCAATGCATGGACTCAGAAAGATTTCAGCAAATGTTTGTTTGTAAACGCTGTTTAACTATGGTTGAGTCACAAGAACAGCTGGTCCAGGTGGGGGAATAGAATAGACAATTTTATTAATCCTCAGCCAGGAAATTAGATTTTCACAGCAGCAGGACTGTGAAAATACAGCTGCTACAACAGCACAGGTTGACAGGTACAGAAACCAGGTGCAAAAGTACAACACAGTTCAGAAACAAACACTGCACAATGATATGGTGCAAGAACATTACACTGTCAGATGTGCACAAACAACACAGTGTAAACAACAACAACCACCTCCTGCCTGGAGCTGGACTGACCCACAATCTGAAAGACATCTCAGTAACTTGAAACCCAAATCTCAGCCTGTTGATTATGATCCATACATAACTTAATTTGCTATTTTGTTATTTCTGGATTGTCTGTTTAATTTTCTAACTTATTTATTTTTGAAATGACATATTACAAAATAACAAGAGAGAGTTTTTCACAGCATTCTTCCTTCTTGCTCACAGGGTAAACCATACTATTTTGATCGTGTGTTCCAGTCTAACACAACTCAGGTGCAGTTCTACAACGCTGTAGCTCAGAAGATAGTCAAAGGTAAATCCCACAATTAAAAAAAGAAAATGGAAATTTTAAAGTGTTGAAAATTTAAAGCAGATTTGTTTATTGTCTTGTTTGAACAGATGTGCTGGAAGGATACAATGGAACTATTTTTGCTTACGGGCAGACATCATCTGGCAAAACACACACAATGGAGGTAATGTGAAGAAGCAGAAAATTATATTTGTAGCATATATGTACAGGTGCTGGTCATAAAATTAGAATATCATGAAAAAGTTGATGATAGATAGATAGATAGATAGATAGATAGATAGATAGATAGATAGAT